AGCATACAGGGGTGAAAAATGAGCTTCCTTCAAAATCCTGAAGTATCTGTGTTGAAAATCACAAGTGAAAACCTTAATCTATTCCACTTGGTCTGTGCTGCAGTTCAGTATAGCCTGGTAGCATCCCTTTGTACCAGGGTTCTTCTCATCCTAATATCCTCTGAACTCTTATGTCCAAAATCACCTCAGCGGCATCCTTTTCGTCATTTGGGTTATGTTTTGCTAAGGAACGTGACCTTCAGCTTTCCACCTCTAGACCCTAATCCTGCCAACATACATGTGCTGGAGATGGTCCATGTAAGCGCTCCTTGATTTGGAGGGTTGCTCCTATAATGGTGTAGTTGAGGGTAAACACAGGTAGAACTTTTTAATTTAGGCAATGTAGATTTTACTCCTCCCATACACCAGATAGGAAAACTGGGCTCACTTTTGCAATGATATCCCTTCAGCCACATGCTCAGGACTAAGTACAGCACAAGTATATTTTGGTAAGATTGGAGCTGTGATCCTTATAGCTTGGTTTAAATTTACTTCTGTATGTATATGGACAGAAAGTTAATGCTTATTTATCAATACCTAGTTTTTAAGGGGAAAGGAAGCTTTAGGTAAGTGAACCTTTTTATGAATTTGGGTTATATTTAGTACTAGTTTTTTGGGGATCAAAGAGATTAGGGAAGAAGAGAATTCCTAAGAACTAAAATATTTTGATCAGACTTCATATTAAAAAAAACCAACACAACTGTTACTTTTTCTTTCAATGGTTTTGTTCTGAAAAGTGCTTAATTCCCCCCCCACCCCCCCAGAAATGCAAGGGTCAAAACCTGAAATAATATATTTTTAGCTCATTTAGCATGAGCTGCCTATTTCACCTTTTTTCTCCAGCTTGGACTTTTTCTTACAACTGTTTTAGTTTCACATCCACCCAAAACAAAGCATACTTTCAGTTTGACCACAGACCAAAAGGTCACTTGTTCACATGACCAGATTTCATCATCTTCTCATTCAATTGAAAATGCTGATGCATATGCATTTTCACATCTCCAGAAATGATTTACATTAAAGAAAATTTTCTAATTCAATAAACACAAATTTCTGAGAACACTTCTGTCCTTACTTAGTTTCGGAAAAATCTGAGAATCCACAGCTTGGGTTCAGTCTGTTTGAGATATTTCCCTTTAAGCTTGACCTCTGTCTCACTTAAGTGGCTTTACTCTGACTTCATGCCATTGACTTCTATGGAGGAATATCTGATACACAACAGCGTCAGAATCGGCCCCTGTATGCTTATTGTATTTGCTGGTCACTGTTACAGAAACATTATTAACACTAAGAGGGGAAAAAAAGGGAGAAAGAGAGAATTTCCACTAGGGTAGATGTGTGGCTTAATATGCCTGCACCACTTTAAAACAAGTAATGCCAGATATATTACTTCATGTCATATAAAATGTGCTAGTGTGCTAAATGTGCTAAAAGCTGGTGTGTGTAATGGGATGCAAAAGCTTGCTCTAACTGGACTAAAATAATTATTTTTGTGCCATGGATAATGGATCAAGAGACTCACACCTGTAATGGAGTTGCAGCAGGCAATTTTTCGCTTGTGAAATTTATTGTTAGTGTACAGTGGACCCAAATTATGTGCCTTGTGGCAGGAAAGGATCATTATTGCCAATGGGCTTCCTAGAACTTCTATGGAATACACACAAATATATATATATATGTGTATGTCTATGTATATATGTGTATATATCCCATAGAAGGCTCTTTTATTGTATGCCAGATACTGCAGTCACCACTCCTCTCCCCCAGACCTCATATTTACCATCATTCAGCACACTAGGCATTAAGTGATGATGACTTTAGATACAATTTTTTGGAAATCTGCTGTACAAGCCTATCAGGATTGCGTTATGGCCTCGGAAGAATGCTACATCATCTCATTTGTAGAAATAAAGAGCTTTCTGAATTTCTGTAGCTGTCTCAGAATAGCTAGAATTTGCACTCCAATTTTCTCCAAGGATAAATCAAATTCATGCTATATAACACTTCACAGAAGCTTTCCTACCTAGTTGCTGAGTATCACCTGTCCTGGAAAGGTGATTTTTAAGTCTTCCCTTTATGAGATTTACCACATTGTTTCATGTGCTAGTCACCTAAAGTGCTTTACGTGGTGGTCTGCAAAAGCTGCAAATTTCATGTTTTCATGAGTTCAGATCCTATTTTGGGCACATAACTAAGAGATCAGAAGCTCAGAAGGACTCAACGTGGGGTGCTGAGAGAACGCTTTAGAAAACCTGAGATATGGAGAGTCTTAGGGTTTCCCAGAGAATAACCTTGTCTTGAACTGCCAAGAGAGCGAGATTTCACCAGATTTTACCCTGGTGTGGGGGGTTTCTGAGCAGTAAGAAGAGCCCTGCCAAGGAGCTGAATCACAAGACACCCTTTCTGAGAAGTAACGGGGCCAGCTCGCGTGTTCTAGGTACTGAACGGATACATGGGGAATAACTGCTCCCGTCTCAGCCAGTTTCAGCTTAAAAGAAAAGGCTGAACAGGTGGAGGAAACTGAGGAGTAAGGACTTAAAGATGGAAGTGAATCTAGCTAATAAAGTCATAAGAGGATGTTTTGGAAGAGTGTTTGCACCTGCTAGCAGAATCATTACCTTTACTTTCTGCCATCCTAACCTATTTTCAGATGTCAGTTTTCTCTGTGCACTGGGGAGATTGTAAGAGAGAAGTTGCTCGTAGAAAATCAGATTTGGACAAAGACTTGTCCTTATACCTAATGGACAGGGCCAAGGAGGCAGGAAGGTGCCTGTGAGAGAATGGGATCAAGAGGACAGCTGAGATATGGATGTGGGGAAAACAAAGGACAGGTCAAAGAAAGGATGGGAAGCCAAACTGTTACGAGGTTTTGATGCAGGGAGATTGTCAACGTCTCCTAGACAGGCAGTGTTGTATAGTGGACCAACACCCAATGACTCAAGGAGAATCTGGAAGCAAGAAAGGCACCTGCTGAGGAAAGAAGGGCAGGGCAAGATGGCAATCTCCTCGCTTTTGTGATGTGTTTAATGCTGTCTCAGTGTAGATAAAACAGTGAAGGACTGAGACCTACTATGGGACCCAGGCACTGCAGAATAGGGAAGGATGGTCAAAAAGCCTCCTTTTCTGAGATGATTTACTACATAAAAGATCTGCTAGGTTTAAGAGGTATAGTCATGCTGTCAGCATGAAGGTACTTACACCAAGCCATGAAGAGGCAGAGATGCTGGTATTGCCTGGATCTCCCACCTCCTCCTCTGCTCCTCTCCTCCCTTCACCCCCAATCTGCCTTGGCCTTTCCCTATGCTCTACACTTCAGCTGTGCTACTGACTTTTCCTTGTCAGCTCAAACAGACCTTTATGTAGCAATAAATTGTCTGTTGCTAGGAAGAGGCTTGCTGTGGATGAAGCAGCCTGGTCTTACTGCTGGCTGGACTGCAATATGGTCTTTTATAGCTGGGCTGTCTTCACCAGAGAACTTCTCTGCCCATTTGAGGTCCTCAGCTACAACCTCCCATCCCCAGTGCTATGTATTCCCCAACCTGAGTGCCTCCCTGACACTAACAGTGTGCTTTTGGGCCCCACCATGGCTTTGAGTGGAAATATTAACTAGGCAATCAAGCCTTGCTGTCACTTCTGGCCAAGGAGCGGAAACTGGAGGAAATCCAATGAGGTGAGGCAGGAAAGAGAAAGCGTTGCAGAGAATGAAGCCTGGCTGTTGCAGAATGGCTGGGTGGTAGGTCGTCAAGTGTGAGACCTCCTGGCAGTTAAGAGTGTAAAGTCTGAATCTACAAGAACATGACTTGAGTCATTGTCAGTGGTGTATTTATTGTGGGAGGAGAAGGAAAGCTGGGGAATTTCCCTGAGACAGTAAGGTCTATGAAAATAAATAAGTGCAAGGTGGGAAGCTAAACATTCCTGAGCTCCGCACCTGGCTGTGGCACACCATGATTGTGTCTCTGGATCTTTTGACCTTGTGTAGGGACTACTGGTTGCCAGCCTTCACCCAGGGATAGGCTGGGAAGTCCCTTGTGGTTAGGGGACCGCTGCAGCATTGGCAATGGTTGCAAGGGGGAGCACCAAGACACTGATTTCTTTAGTTGCACTTGCTTTGCATTAAACATAATGGAAAGCAAAATATTGCAGAAGTTTTCCTTGAAATTTCAGTGATTGATTTAAAAAGTGTGGAAAATTTTGCTGCGTGTCTCTCTGTCTTGTCTTTTCTGTTTTCCTAATGTTAGGACACTTTCACGCTGAAACAGCGTGTTTCTGCATGTTCCCTAGAAATTTTACATAAAGGTTTGAGGCTGTATATTGACTTAAAGAACTGTAAACAATTTCTTGGGGAAAAAAAAAGATTTCAAGTAGCCTCTGCAAAACATAAGATAAAATTTTAATCTACTTTACAGGGAAGTTGGAAGGGATTAATTAAGCAGTTAATGATTAATCTAAGCTTTATGTTAGTGCAAAGTACTGAGCAAATCTATTCATAAGGAAATGATGAAAGTAATTACCTTTTAGAACTGAGAATCTGAAGAAAGGTCATGCAAAACTATACTGGAAGCACTGGAGAAAGTTCAAAACACTTTTGAGTTGAGGAAATTGTACATTTGAGGTGGAATTAGTGATGTAGCCTAGCTGCAATATTAAAGATCAATATTCCTACCCACGGGTATAAACTGGTCCTCCCTAGCTTAAAAAGTTTTGAAGAGCTCTCTGTTTTTACTTCCAAAAATACATTTTTTCTCCGATCTGACTTTCATTTTTCTGTTGTGATTTTTTTTTTGTTTGTTTGTTTGTTTCAATTCAGCCTGCGGCTTCAGCTTTCCCTACCCCTTAATTTAAGGCTGCAAGGAGCTGCAGGGGAGTGACAGTACAGAAGAAGGATAACAGCACAGAGATGGCACCCTGACATGCACCCACAAAGCCAAGGTCCAGCGAGGTCACCAGCTGCTGCCAGGGATCTACAGTAAAAAGGCACCAAAGAAAGTTTTGTGCTCTTTAGTGTAATCCACCAGCTTGATGTCACTAACGTTGACCATTAGCTTGTCTCCTACTTCTAAGGAGACCACAGCGCCCAGATAAATGGGCTGGAACCAGCTGTTTCCCTTTTCACTGAGGGTCTTGGTGCCGGTCAGCAGCTGGGTGGGCTCAGGGTAACTGTCGGTGACTTTGGTGATGATCTCAGTGACAGAATTTGTTTTACTGTAACTTTCAATGGGCCCTCGGAACGTGACCTGAGCATAGACATAGTAGTCCCCAGACACAGGTATCACCAGTGCGTTGCTGGAATAACTCAGTTTGTTCTTGGTAAAGGCCAAGCCTCGTTTGTCTTCCCACTGCAGGATGGGCAGATGGTTTCCCACGGTGTTGGCGAGATCTTGTTTCTTCACTGCGGGGAGAAGAGATGGGTTAGTTTGCTACAGGCGGGGATATTCTGCTGAATGCAATATGAGATCTCTACTCTAAAGGGCAAGAAATTTAAATAGGGTATTCAAAATGCTAGGACAGAAATGTTCTTATTTTACAGCTTGAAAACTGAGGCAAAATTGGCTGCAGGTCAACTGTCCAGTGGTATTTTTGGAGGGTGTCCATAGGGCATCCAGATCTGAGCAATTGGGAGTGAAAGCCAAGGATGCTTTTTAAGACCTCAGCCAGCCCAGGCTGCCTGAAGGGGTAGGCTGTGACTATTGTTGCGGGCCAGATCCTGAACGATGAGACTGTCCTTCCTAAAGGCTGAGTCTCATGGCACTGTGGAGCAATACAGATGGCTTTACCCTGCAGGTCCGGGGAGCTATCTTGCCTATTTACAGAGTACAAATCTTGTCCTTAAGTGAAACCAGTGCTGGGGCAGCTGTACACATGGGTACCATGCCTGTACCTAATAGTTTGGGAGAGTAATAAGAAATATTAAAGCATCATTTTCTTCTGTAGAGATGGATTGCAGTTATGTTTTTTAGACAGACACTACCGTGCTTGCAAAAGTTTCACAATGATCAGCATGATCCATCACCAAGCACTGCGACACTTGAACTTCTCTTCCTGCCAAGTTGCTTCTGAAGGATGTTAGGGTTTGTTAGCCCTTGTGTCAAGCTTTTCTTCCTGAGTACTCACAATGAAATCTTTTGCTGTAGAATTGCCTTTGGTTTACCAGTGTCATTTGGTTGTACCAAAAACTCAGAAGACCCCACTGTGCTTCAAGAGGCCCAATTCCAAAGCAACACATTGTATTTAAAAAAAAACAATTGAGATAAAAATGGTCTTGAAATGCTTTGCTGGAACGAAACATTAAGCTTGGTGTTAGCCTCAGCTTTCCTCCAGACTTCTTCCCAGTCTTGTGGTTAGCTGATTACAAGCAGAGCTCTAATCCAGGTCCCAATGTTAGTCTGATCCAAGCCAAGGATGCTCCCCAGGCTGCAGGGATCTCAGGGGAAGAATCAGGGAACTGCTGCCCTGTTCCCTTTGCCTCTCCTCCACCATTTTAATTTCTCTCACACGACAGCCAGGAGAATGAGCCCTAGCACTTATTCATTTTTCTGCAGGGAAGTGAAAGAGTTTTCTCTGCTCTTTCATGACTGCCACATAAAATTGTTGTGGTAAAACAGAAGCTGAGGCAGTGAAAAGGAACAAGATAAAAACCAGATTCTGCCAGGTATTAAAATGATCCTGGAAAGTTAATGTTAAATGCTGAGAAAGACTGAGGCAACTGATTTCCAGCAAATGAGACCTTTTTCATGAGCTTGAGTTAATGTTTAAAGTTGACTTTGATTTAGTATTTGGGGAAGGGCTGTGTGTGCATGGGCAGGGAGGCAAACTGAATGCAGGTAAAGGAAAGCTTTGAAATTCTCTTGGCAATAACCATTAGGTTTATCCTGGGAGAAATGAGATTCAGAAAAACTGATGTGCTCAGCTCCCAGTGGCATCTGTTTCCCTCTCTTTTCTAGCAACAAATAATCCATAAGGAGACAAGAAGGCATTAGGAGTGCAATTTCTTGCATATTCTCTGAGTAGCACAACAAAATAATGGCTCTTTTTCAGACTGCCTGTCAGTGCTGCTGAAGTATCAAATCTTTCTGACCTTTTCCCCAGGAGGCAAAGTACATGAGGAGAGTATTTCTGTGTGGGAGAATGATAGACAGGGATTGTGATAGCAAGCCAAACTAAATTACTGAAGTATTATAAGGACTATGAGGCTTAGAGCCAATGGAGCTTTGCCTGATACAGAGAGAGAGGAATAATAGAAAGTGAAAGTACTCATGGTCTGCCTTCATCTTCATCTACCTCTCGGGTGTCTAGGGACTGGTCTGAGTCCTGGCATAAAACTAAAGTAGCATTTGGGTCACTCTAAGGTTTACAAGAGCTTGGAGTAATACCTCTCAGATATCAGCTGGTAGCAGATGAAATTTTGTTTGGGATGGGAAGGACCAGAAAAGATCAGAATATTTCCAGAAAATGCCCTGGGCTCTTTTCCATCTTGGGAATTTTCAGGGAAAACTGAAGAGAAGCTGCATGTGAAATATTCTTTTCTGTGTACAATGATGCATTTAAAATGTCAATGACACTCAATTCTTCAATGTTTTTTATAACTAACAGGCATCTCAAATGAAGTACATGATTTCATAACTTCTAGAATTAGGCAACTCTAACTTTTACAGCTATAACTCCCTTTTAGGTTAAAGCTCACTCTGTTGATGCTCTCTATTTTCAAGTTAATTAATTTTCCCCATGCTTTCAATACAGGTCAAGAGGAAAAATGCTTGTTCAAGTGCCTTTGAATACAGTATATCTCCTTTTCTAGCAGCAGTTGTACTTTGTACTTGTCATTTATTTATTTCATAATTATATGGAACTATACTTCCTGCAAATATACATATTCTGCTAATTCTTGAATTAAATAAAATCTGCTTTTAATAAGGGATCATTGCTACAGTTCCTTCAACTTTCCCATCCCCTATAAATTTTTGGCATCCCTTACATGTGAAATTACTTCTCCTTTCCAAAATCCCTTTTGGTTTAGTCCCTCGCTGGAGACTCCCTGTTGCTTGGCAGCTTTTGGGTACATTTTGTGGCATATTGCTGAACTTGTGGGGTTTCTACAATTCTTAGCCCTCACCGGTGTGAGAGCCTGATACCGAACACTGTACTCTGAAGCCAGACTCCTGGTCTCAGCAAGAGATTAGAGTATGAGTCTCCTGTTATAGTAAAGCCCTTGTACAGCATGTACTGCAAAATCCCGTGGCTGCAGGGTCTCTGTTGCTCAAGATCACGCCCTGGGAGTTTAATAACTGCCTTTAAAAGGTCATTACTTCCAACTATCAAGTGGAACCAGAAAGTGATGTTCTACCCAGATTTAGTGGAGTGCTCGGCTACCATTGCAGCATGATAAGCGTGAGCCGGGTACTTGACGGGGTTCCTGCAACATAGTTCTCCAGCCGTGCCACAGGCTGGTGACAAGAAGGAGGAAGCAGTCGGCAGCATCACCCAAAGTGCAACCAAATAAGTCAGAGAGGGGATCATGGCATGGCGCAGTCAGCACCAAATATACATTAGTGCACAGGAGACAATGGGGATGGAGAAAAGTCCTAGCTAGATATTCACATGGATCGTGCCATTCTTCACTAGCTGTAGCCGCCCTGGGAGAGGAGACCTTGATGCCAGTTTGGATAAGTTCAAAACATTCAGTGTGTGTTAAAAAGGCCAAGAGCAGGTGGAAAATTCATCATTAAGGAACAGAGACCAAAACATTGAGTCATTCTGTTACTGCTAATTCAGTGGTGCATTCCCATGAAAGTACTGTGGCTAGTTCTCATTCCTCTCATTCCTTTGCTCTCACCTTCAGAATATATGTGCCTAAAACTAGAAAAAGACAGAGAGAACAGAGATCTGGAAGAGATTTCCTACAAGTGAGAGTTTGTAGTCTACACCTTCACTTTGAAGAAGGTACCTGAGGTGGGGGAATGTAACAAAGATCTGAAGAATAATTATTCCTTTTTCACTTTCTATGCATGAGTCATGGTTTCTGAGAAGAGAAGACCAGGGTGGTACCCAAGAAATTATTATGCAGCAAGTTTAAAATAACAGGAAATATTTGCAATGCACTGTTAAGCTGGGGAACTCATTGCCACAGGGTACAGCACCAAAAATATGCTTGGGCTCAAAAAAGGCCGAAGATAAGTTCATGGAAATTAAGTTCCCTGATGGCTACATAACACAGCAGCCTGCGTGTAGCCTTTTTGCACAGAAAAGGAGCAATAAAATCTCCTTAGCTTTTCCTTTTCATGCACCTTGCTATGGCCAACAGTGACTGGCTTGAAACGGCAGGTTGAAGAGGACGGGCACCAGCCTGAGGAGAATGCTCAGGAATGACTACAAAGGAATTTTTGCAAATGGGGGGCCTGAGGAAATTTGAAGAAAACTGTTGGGTGCTTCCCTGCAGCAACTGGGCTTTTATGCAACCCAGGGAAGGTCCCGTCAGCAGAGCAGTGCTTCGGCTGCTCTTCTGAGTCAGCTGCACCGGGACCCTCTGGGTCTCTCTGCCATGGGGGCACTCAGGGGAAACAGAGAGACTTACACTAGCAGACACGGTCCTTTTGCTCTTGCACACTTGTGCTTAAGCAAAGATGTGATTTTGAACAAGGACAGGTCAGTTTTGGAGCTCTTGCAACCTGTGTGCAAAAGAGGATGGTACCAAGGATGTGCATTAGGAAGGACTTTGTGGATTAGGGAAAGTAAACGCTACTAGGAAAGAAATCAGCCCTGAAATACTGATTGATTTAACCCTGTAAGTGAATGCATGAAGCATCATGCCACTTCTTGCATGCTTCAAGTTACTGAAGTGCCCCCCTGGGACAACACACAGGGTGTTGGGGAAGCCTTTGCAGTGAGCTGTGTTTTTGAGAGGTATAAATTGCTTTAGGTCAGAGCAGCTGGAGAGCCTTTCAGCACTCAACTCCATCCACATGGGAACCAGCCATGAACTGTTTCCTCTTCTCTGGTAATACCTAATTTTTCCAGGCGGGTGGAGCTGGTGAGCATGGGGGAGGGCTCAGGACAGTGTCCTTGGTGTGACAACAGCTACACCTTCAAGGTTGAGGTGGTGAGATGGTGGCCTTGCAAATGCTGGCAGCCCCTCGGAAATGTATGGCAGCCCACTCTGCGATAGGGCTTTGCGATAGCACCTTCCTAACACAAGGTAAGGGTTTGGAGGGGTTCAGCTGGGCATTACCCTTCCCTCACTTGCTCGTACACATGTTAGGGATGATCTCCCTGAAAACGGGGCGATTTGATGGCAATATGGTGTGCGTGGCCCGACTCAGGCCTTGCAGAAAAATAAGGTTTAAAACTGGTCTCTAAACCTGGTGGTACTTCCCAATTCACTGCTCCGTGAGGGCTCACTTGAGCTCTTTCCCCTGCCTTTTCTAGGGGATTCAGCAGATCTCTAAGATACGAGGTACCTGTTTAAGATCAGTTACAAGAGCTGCTCATTCAATGAAAGAAACGGCTTGGAAAAGTGGCAACATTTCTGTCAGCTACCTCCTTTGTGGGCCCTTTTCTACAAACACAGGCTGCAGTCAATCAGTCATGATCAACAAGGCAAAGCTGATGATTATTTTCCCCATGTTTCCTGCAACACCTGATCCTATCAGATCCATATAAACCAAGATTATTGCACCACAACATCTGCTGTAATACCCACGGGAAACACTTCATTTTTGAACAAGCATTACCTGTTAGGTGTGCTCTTGGCTTTTCTGCACTGGAAAGTGTATCTGTAACTGAGGGGAAAAAAAAAAGTGCGTAAGGATGTTTGCTGCTATTCAAGTCAATGAGATGTGAGCGGTGATCGATGCCACCGAGGAAACGTGTGGAGCCCCTTTCCATTCCTGCATACATTTGAGTCAGGAGTTATTTGCCATGATTGTTTATTGACACCGTTGAGCTAATAAAATCTCTTTGCAAATGAGTGAGCTTGTCAGGCCTGTTGCAGTGTCGATAGGGCACATCATGGCCGTGTCTTAAATTTCTGGAGGGTGAACTGAGGGGAGGTGTGGTGTACACGGATGAAAGCATGGTGTGCATGGGCTCCCAAATCCATGCTTTTGCATGTTCAGGGAGTTATACCAATCTCAGAGAGCTGCTGGGGAGGTCTGTGCCTGCACTAGAAGGAGCGAGCTTGCACAGCCCTGGTGTTAGAAATGCTCGCGCTGTCACTATGGCCCCAGTTATCTCCCTGCATCTTGTCACACAGGTTTGCCTCTGTCTGCCCTGGCTTGTTTGCCTCAGGAGGGATTTGGGTGGTGAGAGCGGAGGGCAGGTGGGGAGGCATCTGCCAGCAGCGTGCTGCAGCAGCAATTGCAAAACCTCGGTTAACAAAGGTGTTCGGGATGGGGTAAAGGACTGGCAAACTCACCAGTATCTACTGCCCGTTGCTTCAGAAAGCGAGAGCCCCTTTCTTCTGTGACCTGCAGGAGAGATTTACAAGCAGTCAGCTCAGGGTTCCAGGTGTACAGTACCTCCACAGAGGGTCTTGTTTGTGTTATCCCAGAAAATGGAATATGCTACAGTAATACTGTCGAGTTCAGCTAGAGCTTTTATGTAAAAGGACAAGCCCTGACAAGGCTTTGCTTCATGGCAAAGAGTTTTCTGCTGTTTGTTTGAAACTGCCTGCATCTCTGAAAGGGTGCCAGGGACAGGAGCTGGGCTCCTGTGGTGGTTGCTGTGTTAAACTCCAGTCTTGTTCAGAGGCTGGACAAGCCCTTGGCATAACTAGGGGGGGACTGGCAGAGTGGCCAGTGTGAATTAGCCATCACTAACCCTCCTTTGGGGTGGTACCTCCATGCAGCACTGCTGGAGCACCTCTGCTGCTTAGAGACTCTCCTGTCCCTCAATCTGTGCAGAGCAAGCAGAGCAATGTGAGTGATTCTTCCCTGTCTCAAGACTCAGCAGGTCTGAGCCTTTTTAGGTGCAAAGATTCATCCATAACGCCAGCAAAGAGACTAATTGAGGTGTATCAGCTACACTTGCTTTTCTTTCTGCATCTGTGTTATTTCAGACTGTAAGTCTGTTGCTTAGGTCTGTCTTGAATGTTGGGTAGCCTCCTTGGAAGACAGAAAAGAGCTGAGCAGGTCTGAGAGTGCAGCTGGCAGAGGGTGAGCTCTGCGGCACACTGACACTCCACTGAGGGAAAGCAGGGTGATTTATGTTTCCTTGCCTCTTACGTCTTGTTCTAGAGCTGAACACTCATAACACATCCCTGTGCCAACACGCATTTGCATGGCAGCAGGGCATGGCCCTGGGCCGTGCCAAGTGGTTCTGACATTTAGGTTGAGCAGTTCAAAGGGAAGCTGCTGTCTGCCTGCCACATGTCTAGCAGGGCTGGCACTTCTGAATCACACTTGGGCATGGCTGGTGGCTTCTCGCCAAGTGCCAGTCCTCTTATGGCAGCCTGCAAAGCAGCACGGCTCCTAACCGGAGGATGCTGCGGGATGCTGACTCTGAATCCAGCCTCCCTGGGGTGTGAGGAGCACCCCTTATGCTTTCCCCAGGGCACAGTTCATTGCGGGTCTCTGCCAACAGTGTGGTTGCAGAAAGCAGACAGTCTGGGTTATGCAGCCAGCTCAGGGTTGACTATCAGGGCTGTCAGGAACCTCTGTCATGCAACGTCTGTCAGGAGCACGTTGGTGTGGTGCGGTGTGTTTTATGGACAGCTACAATAAACACAGTGAATAAACTGCCACTGATCAGCTTGCAGCTAAGGATTTGGTGCACGTTCCTTAATAAACAGGCTGAAATAGTATCAGCACATAGATGCTGAAGCTATCTCCTGGTGGTTGTGTCTCACACAACTTCAAATACTGCAGGAGAAGTAGAAAATAGATAATTTATATTGGCTGGGGGAAGAAGAGTGTTTGTGGGAGAAGAGTCAGGCTGCCTGGGTTTGGGGACTGCTAGCTACTCTAGTAAGCCCAAAGGTATTTTAATGTTTTACTAGCAGTAAACATCCATGTGCTCCTGCAGAAAACCATAATTTCTAAAATAGTTGTTCCAGTGTGTTGGAAAAAAATGGAGAAGGAAAACTGCAGGGAAAATTATCTTTTTTTTTCTCCCTTCCCCACCTGTACACACATATATAGCCCAGCCACAGCAGTCTGCTGCTCTGCGGGAAATGTCATCTAGAAGAGAGGGTGGTGCGAAAGCTTAGTGTGTGGCTGTCAGAGAGAATTGGTGGTGTGCTGTCAATGAGATGTCTGAGCTGCTCATTATGACTGTCTCCAACATCCTGCCTGCTTGCCATGGTGTCTAAACGTGACTGCATTTTTGATGTGACACAGAGTCATAGCCAGGTGACGTTGTCCTTCCCCTGGTGGGCAGCACAAGATCGGTGTGGAGGATTTCCTTCAAACACTTCCCCTTGTTTTTGGCCAGATGTATATGCATGAGTATATTTAGAGCATTATTTATGTGACACTTCCTACATATTTATCAAGAGACATATTTTCTAATGATTCTAAGTACTGCAATGAGCTACAAATCAATCACACACCTACGTTTAATCATGTAACTGCAGTGGGACTGTTCACATATTTAGAGCGTAACTTCTGCTGAAGTCCTTTATATAAACTCGGATGTTGCAATACAGAGGTGATGGTAAAGTGGGAAGGATATCAAGAAGAATTCTGCTTCTTTATAAAAAATAACAAAATGGTTTTGACTAAAAACTGGGGAGAAACTTTTCATGCAACCTCAATTTACTTGTTTTCAAAGAAGGCCAGATAGAAACTGCAGGAGCAGAAGCTGCATTCATAGATGCTAAAGGACAGTGTGATGCAGTAGATAGAGCAGGGTGCTGCAAGGTGTGAAATTATTCTGCTGCTTGGCAATTGTAGGGGTTTTTATTTTCCTAATTGTGCTATTTGATAAAGATACAAATCTAAACCTCCTATAGAAAATATTTTAGCACTAGACAATGCTACATAACGGCCAGGTATTAGTAATATTTGTCCTAAATAGGCACTGATGTATGTTGATGGTGTAGATGAGGTGGTGAGGGAGAGCTAAACACCATGAGACAATAGAGAGATCATTTATACAATTAGTGTTTTTCTCTCTTTTCCTTTCTTGCTTAGCTGTGATTCTGAAAAATTCACAGCATGGCTTCAATTTTCCCTTTGGTTACTGTGGAGAGACTAACCAGCACTGAGTGATGTTGAAAATCCCACCTTATAGCTGACTTGCAGACAAACGATGTCTTGGACAGCCAGCTCTAATTACCCTGAAGACTGCCGTGTGCAAAACACTTCTATATTTGTTTGATACCAAGAATGTCCAAAAGCCCCAGTGCATTTATATCCAGACATTGCTAAAGCCAAAAAGAAGGGCTGAACATCCCCTGGTCACACGCTTTTCCTCTTGCACCTCAAGGAAGGACCAGGGGTATCCGATAGAGAACTGCAGGGGAAAAGCAGCTTGGCACTGCAGGCAGAGAGGTTAATAAGCAGAATATCCCCAGCACCTTCATCCACTCCATTTTTAGCACAAGACGCTATTTTGCGGGCAGGGTCTCTGCAGGTCATACACGGTACATACACCCACAATTTTGCTAGCTCCAGAGATGCTGCATGGCCTCGGCTGGGCACTTTTGGTAGGGTCCTGTCCTGTGCCAGTAAAAACTGGCTTCAATGGGAGTATTTCAGTTGGACTATAATGCCCACTGTAAGCATGTACCCAGGGCATGTACTCACTTGCCCACGAGGACCATGTGCATCAAGCAGCAATGGCCAGTCAGGAGTTTTACTGCTGCTGGCTTCTGGAAGTGGAATCCCACACACCTGGGCCTAGGTGCAATGCTCACTGCTCCTCCCCAGGCATTTCTCCTTCCCTACAGATCAGGAAGCCATTTCAGGTTCTCTCTCCCATTTGGGCAGGCCATTAGGGCTTCTGGCTCTGCATGAATTATGGTTCCGGCAGTGCTTCTCTGAGCTTTGTTGCTAGCTTTCTGGCTTCATCCCTTTAGGTGGGATCCAGGTGGAGCCGCTAGGACTTCAGAGTCCCTCCTGTACTGCAACAGCTCCCTTCTCCATTGCAAGGCTGACGTGGCACACAGGTTCATATGCAACCTTTCGGACAGGTTTTGGAATTTCCCTTTACACTGCTTGTGGTCCTGCCATGCCAAGTATGCCATGAAAAAAAGCCCAAGTACCAACATCTCCAGGCCACAGGACTTGATGCTCTGCTTTATTGGGCTAGCTAAGCGGGTTGCTAAGGCAGCCAGAGATGCTCTCCTGACTGCTGTGCCGTTCCTTTGGTAGATTTGTGTACTCAGACTGAAACTTGGCTTCCCTTTGGGGAAGGACACACAGCAGTCCTGGCCCTTCCTCTGGAAGGGTGCCACTAGAGCCTTTTATAGATTTTCTGCTAATAACCCAAGCCATGTGTTATTGCTTAAAGAACCCTATTTCCTCACCTCACTCTGTCTTGAAGCATGAAAGAAAGTGATTTCTATTTCCAAAAGGGAAGCAGTGTAGTGAGCCTTGAAGGTGCCCAAGGAAACCATCATCAGACTTGAATTATTCATGCAAGATGCAGTATACCATGAGAGAGAACCGGCAACTCACGCATGTTGCTGTAATGACATAACTTGCCCTGCTTTTTCCTGAAAGGGATGTTTCTAGAGGAAAAGGTGGGTTTGTATCCCTTCAGAGGCAGAGTGTGACACCATGTGCACCCACACAGAAGCAGAGATGAATAGACCGCCTCACCCCGCAGGCACATCAAAGAGGCACACCCCTGTTGCACAAACCTTCCCCGGCTCCCCTTGTCCTCCTGTTTGCTCCAGGAAGGACTGGCTCAGGAATTTACTACATCTGCTTCTCACCTGCTCAGCTGCCAAGTCCCTCCCTCCTCCCAGGACTGTCCCCAGTGCAGGAGAAGTTGGTAATCTGGGATGTGTGGGCTGAGCTCTGGTCCTGCGGTAATGAAAGGACTCCTCCTGTGGGCTCACTGCTGCAAGGGTCAGCAAGTGATCTGCATCGCATGCATTTGCACGCATTTGCACGCATCTGGTGCAAACTTGAGTCTGCCCACTTGCTCCCAGTATGCCCAGGGCATCCGCACGCCAAAACCAGTGCCACAAAGAGCTCTGGCACCCGCGTCTGGTCCCAGCCTAGTCCTTCTGATTTGGGTTATCAGTGGGGCTCATGAGGGAGGCATCCTTTAGCAATCCAGTTCTAACATGTCAAATGCAGAAGGAAATGCACAAAGACATTTTCCTGAGAGCCTTTATGCCCAGAAACATTCCAATGGACTGAAATAGGCTACAGCTGTGCTGAGCTGCAGAACTGAGCAGCTGGGCTCAGCCCATGACACAGCTCTTTGGGGAATTAACAGAAAGCTACACAGGCAGAAAAATCCACCCATCTGTGCTCTGTTGCTGGACAACACTGGCAATACAGTCAGTCACCAGCGGAGTGAATGAAAAATTCAGAAAATGCAGGATCCAGCTGAACTGTAGCTAGGTGCTCCACCCACTGGGCTTGGCACAAAGGCAGCGGGCAGCCGGCCAGCCCTGACGATTTTTCGCTTCCTCACCGGGACTTGCAGAGGCTGTAACTCATCTGATTACCTCATTACATCACTGTGGGAATACTACGCGCTAATAATTCAGTGCATATGCATGGAAATACACACTAGTGTAGCCCAGGCTAGAGCAAATCTAATGGCTTACATTGCGCTTTTCCTCTTAAGAAGCCAAACCCAGTCACAAAAATACTTTTCTGCACTAATTCTGCCAACAGAGTCAAGAGCCAGGAACACATTAGTCCAATCAAACAGGCTAATGTTTTATTATTATTTCACTCTAAGATAGTTTCAGGAACTGAACTGTTCTGCTTTGTACAACCTCACAGGATGCAAACAAAGAGCAATGCACCTGAGACTGTCCAAAGTGCCGCTTCACTCCATGTGCACCTGCTCTAGCTGGCCTAAACAGCAGTAACAGGGTAAATGCACTTTCGTGTGTGCAAGAAATTGGCAAATTTAACAGCCTGAGGTACGGCGCAGGGCTGACGCATCTCCTTTCAGCTGTGCATGAAGGTATAAATAGACAACGTGGAAGATGCTGCACCCAGAAGCTGGCATCGCTTGGGTGTGAGACTCCCGCTCTGCAGACTTGAGGTCAAATGGGGGCCAGCACGTCTCTGTGCAGCCGAGAGCGTGCACGTGCGCAGCCATGGGTACTGCTGTCACACTCTCTAAACATCCGTAGGCTAAATGTGTGCAAGGTTAGAAATCTGCCTTCAAGGCCACTTTCTAACACTGCTTTCTTTTGCCGTTCCTAAGCGAGCGTATAACAAGTGGGCTAATTAGTTGGGGAATTTCAGACCTGAAGCTAAAATTTAAACCTTAATTCTTCAGACCTATGTGCATATATGCATCCTTCTAGCATGGGGCAGTCCTGCTGAATTCATAGTCTACCATGGAAATTGGCCCTTGTTTGCAGTCTGGCACGAGAAGGAGTGCCAGAAGTGGGGCGGCATAGAAGAGCATTAGAAGCAGCCACACCAGCAAGCTTATATCGCTAGGAACAAAGTGAGTTTAGCTGTCTGTCAAAGAACAGCTGAGAAGATCCCTGGATCTAGAGAAATTTTTGATGGGGAGTAGAAAATGAGATGCAAAATTTAGGGTCAGACTCCTTAATTGTCTCAAATCATATCTCTGCAGGAGTTTGCATTGATAATGTATGAGAGCTATAGCCGTCTGCCCAGTGATGGATGATAGGCACTGACCCACTGACATCAGCAGTGCGGTCAGCAGATATTTGCTGAAATAGGACACTGCGAGGGGAAGTCTCAGAGTTAACCCGAAAGAAGGGAGGAAAATGAGCCATAGTGTCAAAATCTGTCTGAAATCAGTGGAGAGACACTGATTTCCATCAACTAGTGATTCTTAAGCATTTCCTGCAGCATGTCAATAAAAGTTTTAAAAAGTTGTGCATTGTACTGTGACCTTAGTGAAATTAAGACAAGATGAACAGGAACTGTTAGTTGAAAAGACCAAACAATAATACGATTTATCCCAGGCAGATTTGCTCTGCGTAAGGAAGAAGGAATGTAACAGCGAGTTTCTCATGTTCCCTTAAACATGAGACTCATAAGGCGAATAAAAGAACCAAACCCAACCCTGGAGACGCGGGACGCGGTGCTCTCCTCCTTGCAGGGTGGCAGGACAGAAATCAGCCGTCAGTCTCTTACCTGGCCAGTGCAGGAGCTGGGGGCTCTGAGGTTTCCAACCAGCAGGTAGGCAGTGGGCAGCGCCAGGACCAGCACGGAGAGCAGGCACAGCAGCACTGCGCACCGTATCCTCCTCAAATCCTCCCTGAGATGCATCCTGGAGGCTTGGTTGGTTCCAGGAGCCGCCTCCTCCAGGGTTATCTCGACCACGCGGTCCATGCCAGCACCTGGCACACGAGCTGCTGCTGTTCCTGGATGGGAAGTCGGACCAGCAAAGTCTCTTCTGGTGTCTGCCTTGCATGGAGACCCCCATTAAATAAGTGCTGCCCCGAGTGTGGGAAGGGACCGACACACACACACCCTCCCTCCCAAGGAATGCACCGCCTACAATAGAAACCTAGCTCAGGGAAAGAGAGCACTGTGGCTCCCCGAGGTGCCTGCTGCATGCCTCCATCTGGCTTTTTTCCCCCCTCGCTGTGCAGAAGGAAGCTAGGAAAGTCCCAGTGGGTGGAACCAGGATAAACCCTGCTGCTGGGCTGGATAAGCTTGAAAGCTTTTCCGCATGGCAAAGGGAACATGAAACCAACGGGAGTGAAAGTGAGAAGCAGGGGGAGAGCGAGAGCGAGCCGCAGAAGCGAGCAGGCGGCGTGTGCCATCCTGGAGCCCAGCAGTTTCAGCGCAGCCCTGGGAGAAAAGGGAAGAGTCTTTTAGGGGAGGCGAGGGTATTGCAAGTGACCCTGAAGAAAGGATCTGATTCTTTGAAATGTTGCTTCATTCCTACATTTTAGTAGAATTTGCAAGTGGGCTGCAGGTTGCTCAATATACCTTTTGCATCAAACAGTACAGGATCAGGTCTAAAATAGGGTGTTTATCTGCTGTGGGGTTCATCTTCCCCAAACTCATTTTCATTGTGCTTTCACAGGAGCCTGCTATCATTATTTGGAAAAGCTGTGACTTTATTGCACTTGGGAAAAATTTATGTCATCTTACTTTATTGATAGCTACTATTTCTGATTAAAACGGCTACCTATTGGCAACCTCAGGAGCTGCTCAGCAACTGATTTAGGAGAAACAAGCTCAGACGGCAGCCGATGTCCAGCTGGAATGGGCTCCCTTCTCCCAGGGAAGGCTAGCTTCATGCTCGCTCCCTGCCACACAGCAGCAACCCACCCTCCCTCCACTGGCCTTTGCAGGAGCCCTCAGTGGAGATGTTGCCATGTAGACTTATCCAGATTGTTGAAATTGGAATTTTTTTCCCTGGGAAAACACGGTTCTCATCAAAACTGAAACTTTCTTTGATTTATACACACACGCACACTGGTGTGCAGAAGCTTCTTTTTCCCTGGGTAGAGAAACAGGGTGGAAACTTACTTATTTTTTAGTGAGAGAGCAAGAAGGTTTGGTTTCCCCCACCTCCCCATGAAAAACATTTCAGATTTGTGTTATTGCAAAATAATATCAAAGAAAGAAAAATATTTTCTCATGTCCCATCTGTCTGCAACCCCCCCCCAATCAATAAAAATTCAGCCAGCTCTTATCACGTGCACTTCGATAACACTGCTAGAAATCTTCCTGTTACAATTGTCCGGTGCAGCTCTTGGTACATTAGAAAGCTAAAAGTCATTCTCTGAGCAGAACGTACAATTTAGTGAGGATGACTGAGGCTGTCGGCAGCGGGGAAGGGGATCCTTGCCAGCAGACTGGACAGGGACTAGGCCAGGGAAAGAGAAAGAGAGAAAGTGTGAAGGGGAAAGCAAGAAATAGTGAAAACCAGTATGGTTTAGGGAGACAGGACAAGAGAGCTGGTAAAGCACCAAAGGACATGTGCTCTAATCCGAGCCAAGCCACATAACTCCGCTGTGACTTTAGGTTAGTTAGGTCATCTCCTTCTTTAATTCATTGTTTGTTTTCATTTGGGCTGTAAAATCTTGAGGACAAGGACTACTCACTGTTTTTACAGCACCTAGAACTCATTTCATGGCAAGTGTGGCTCCATTTATCATAAATTTAAATAACAGAATGGGTGGGAAGGTTCTGCTAAGATCAGTAGAAAGAAAAATCATATTTCTGTGGAAGTGCTGTGTAGAGATGTGATTTTCTTTTTTTTTTTTCTTTTGCTGGGGTCCTAGTTATTTATTCTAGGCCAGAGCACTAAAAAACTAATGCTAGTATTTTGGCCATGAGTGTCAAAGTTAATTTTCTCTTCATTGTGAGTGCCACAAAATGCTTAATATGTATTCAAGGCACGTGCCTTACAAGAAGACAGTCACAGATATCCCCAATCCGTAAGCCAGAAAACCAGTTCATTTTTTTTATTTTCCAGGGAATTCCAGTGGAGTCAGTTCTGAGTTAAAAGAGCTCGTAAGAGCTTTTGTTGTCCTGAGACTTCTTGCAGTTCTCTGCAAAGCTTTGGCTGGAAGAGGATGAGTAGCCGGACCCTTGGAGAGCGAGGGCTGGGCTCTTGAGATGAGATGGGAACATGTTCATGCTCTGCACCTGGCTTATGAAGCCAAGGTGAGAATTTGTTCTTAAAAATCCCAAGAAAGGAAGGAAAAATTTCTTTTTCCTCTCCAGAGCGCAAGTGCATCTGGCACACGGCGTGCCTTTTATTTGCCAGGAGGTGACTTGCCCAAGATGGCTCAGCAAGGCAGCTTTAGAGCAGCCAGAATAAACCTAGGTCTGCAGATCTCCCGCGCCAGCGCTGGGCTCCTGCCGCCTGGCCGCCCTCGGCTGTGCCGCACTGCACAGGGTGCTCCTGCCTGGAGCGTTTCCCGAACATCCCCTGGCTGCAGAACAGGGAATGGTGACCTTCGGTGACCACGACGGTCTCATCTTTCCCATGAAGGGAGCTAGGCCTGTGCAGGCAGGGTGTGGGCAGGGGCAGTCCTGCTCGGCTGTCTGTCGTGGCGCTTTTCAAATTTCTCCTGCTGCTCCCCGTTTGCCCCCAGCTGACCTCTCAGCCCTGACTGTTGGGTGAATTGTAAATTCTCCTGCTCATGTCAGACGTGTCCCAGCCTGTGATCCTTGACTAGTTTCTACTGATCAGAAAAATCTGCAGGGGTTACCAATCAAGCTCACCTCTGTAGTTTAACAAGCTTTAAAGAGGGGAGGTGGAGTTAAATACATGGGACTTAGAGATTTTTTAAAGAGAAGAAATGCATGGAAGGAATTAGGCATCCATGAGAGGAGAAAGAAACAGCTTGTCACCGGGGCATGCCACCTCTGTGCTGCTGAGTTTTCTCTTCTTTCTGTAGTGCTTTTTGTTTTTTCTGCATGCTTATACATGATATGTATGAGGGCATTTTGTCTGAGGGCAAATAAGCTGAATCACATATATAGTGAGGATAAAGTATACACAAGGATGGTATTGCGGGTATTTCTGTCTTCAGCATGGAAGACACTGATATTGCATTTTTATTCATTCCTTGTCTACATCAGGTAATGGCTGTGTTTTTAGTTTTTAAGCTTGCAGTGAGTATGGAGAAAAAGTAATTGAGCATTCAAAAACCAGTTCACACATCCCCTAAGAGTTTTCAAAGTGCTTCTTGTTCACTGTGTTCAGAATGGTTAATGCACCATTTGCAGCTGAATCCTGTGAGATTTCCCTTAGAAAAAAAAAGCACAGAGCATCCTTCAGCTGGGAGAAGAGGGAGAATCAGCACATGATATTTGCTCCTCTTGATCTTGTCATATCCTTCCTGCTCAGTGTTTTGCTAGGTCATCTGGAGTCTCTCACCAGAGACATCGTGTGTACAGAGATGCAGCATGGATAGGCTGTAGCTGGTGCTGAGTGCTCTCGGCACATGTCATGACTTCCCAGGTTGGCATTTCATCCTTCCCTCTTGCTGCTGCTGCCTCAATGTCATGGCTGTTGGTTGCTGGCACGTACTCAGTGGCGGCTCCTCCACTGTGCTTTGCTGTGGCTGTCCCGCACCCTCCAGCACTCGGCTCACTGCAGCTGAGCATCGGGGCTGCATGGGGAGCAATGGGCAATGCCTGCTTCTGCCAGCCCATGGCTAGAGCCGGGCAAGAGGAATGGTGAAAGCAGGGAGTGCTATTGGTGTGGAAATTTCTACACCACCAAGGTCAACCCATGGACATCCAATAAACTCAAGTGCTGCCAGTTGTGATTGCTGAGAACAGCAGGGCTGGAGAGAAGGCAGAGGGATGGGGGGCTCAACTTAGCATGACCAGCACCACCTTGGAAGAGGAACCGTGTCCTCCCTTGTGCATGGGAGGTTGTGGGAGGGTTTTGCCATAAGCATGGTCAGGTATGGATATATGTCAGGAGGGGCTTTTCAGGTCAGTCATTACTCTTACACAACTCCTGACCACCAATAAGCAGAAGTAGGATGTAGCTGGTTGCTATGTGGAAATGTTACCCAGTTAGACTGGGTTTGTCACCAGACAGGAGATGGGGACCAGCTCCTCGAGCTGCCACTTGCCAGGGGATGATATGTGACGGGAAGGAGTGGGAGGGTGCAAGATGGTTCCCCACCTCCAGCTGCTGTGTCCCTGCTGTGACCTCCCACCCCTCTGCTGCTGAAATCCTCCTTCTGCCATACGGCGCATGTCCTGTAGCACATTTCCCTCACACACACACAAAGTGAGACAATCAGCTGGGCGGTACTCTCGTGGTGTCAGAAGCTGTGGGAATGTCATGGCCCAAGTGGATGCTGCTCCCGTGTCCTTGGCTCCAGTCCACTGCTGCGGAGGAGGCAGGGGCTGTGGGATGGGAGCTGCGCCATGCCAGGGACTCTGGGAGAGCCTTTCAGGGCAAATCCTGGTCTATCCCCTTGCTTATGCTGTGGCAAACCACGGTGCTTGTCAGCATGACGTAAACAACCTGGAATTTCTTGACTTTAAAGTGGCTGTGCCGGGCACCGTATTTGTTACCATGCTGAACTGCTTCACCTTCTACAGCTGCTGCCAGGAGACTTTTCCCAGCAGCAAGACCCCAGGTGGGACACAGACAGACCAGAGCTTTGGTTTCCTCTGGTGCCCAAGTAGCCTTTCTTCACCCCTCTGCCTTTACTTCAAGGAGAAAAAGGCAAATAATACACAGGATGCTTTGCGCTGTACCAGACTTCTTGTATTGAGCGCACTGGGGCAAAGTGGGATGGCATAAGGGGAGTGTAAGGGCACAAGGTCTCCTAGAATAACTTTGATGCAATGTATTGAGCAGAGACAGAAATCCAGCATGGTCCCTGTGGCATGTA